AAAAAAAATTATAAAATGCTCAGGTATAAAGAGGAAATGTAGAAAATATAAAACACAGGGTTAATTTACATATTTACAATTTATTTTGGTTTAATTTAATTTGAATCTATTTATTTCTGTGAAGCTGCTAGTGACAGTGTCCACTGTTAAAAGCTCTATACAAATAAAACTCAACTGAATTCAATTAATAATAAAAGTCGTGGTGGTTGTAGCTCCCTCTAGTGGCCGCTGCATAACATCTTATAGCAGGAGTAACAAAAGGTTTATATATATATGTGTGTGTGTGTGTGTGTGTGTGTGTGTATATATATATAGAGAGAGAGAGAGAGAGAGCATAAAATTGGTTAAAACTGTTATTATTGAGTAAAGTTGTTGAGGAAATGTATCAGTTAAATAATAAGTTGCCCAATCAATGAGCCTCACGTGTCAATCAAGCCTCTAAATCTCAGACTCCGCCCACACGTTTATCAGGCCAAACAAACAAACAAACAAAAAGCAAACAGCGGACAGAAAGGATTTACTATTTCAAAGAATATTTGTAAAAAGCTGAGGGTATTGAGGACGTGGGCAGTCCAGCACAGAGTCCAGCACAGAGACTGTGCAGTTTGTTTCTTCAGCACCTGTAACAGCAGGTAAGCGTCATGCTAATGTTGATGCTAATGTTGATGTGTTTGTTAGGAACACACTGAGAGTTTGAGTAGACTGTACAGTATTACCTGGGCAGGAGAACTCTGTAGCTCAGTGTGCTTGTGATGTGCTTGTGATGTTGGTTTGCCTCCATGTTTGAGGTTTAGTTTATTTCCACTGAACATGTGTGTGTGTTTTATTTCCACTGAACATGTGTGTGTGTTTTATTTCCACTGACTGTGTACAGTGCAGATCTGAAGCTAACACTGATGCTGAGAGTTGCTGTGTTTGTATCTTTATTCAAGCTGATTAAGATTTAAACTTTATATTTATATACTGAAACCTTATGAATCTGTTCTGTGTTGTTCGACCACATCACTGTGGCAGGCTTCAGTCTCCAGGATCACATGTTTGGTGTAGTTTAACTCTTATTATTTGATGTTTAGTTCATTTTAATAGAACAATGTTACCATGTGAAAGCATGATCACATTTAGATAAATACCGACTAACACCAGAAGGTGGCAGTGTGCTCCATTTATTTGTAATAGTGTTAAACTTTGGATTGTATTTCTCAGAACTACACACATATAAAAGTGTAAAATAAATCAGTGACCAGTTTTTAAATCATCATTAAATCACATCTCACTGAACTCTCTCTCTCTCTCTCTCTCTCTCTCTCTCTCTCTCTCTGTTTTCATGTGCTTTATTGGCATGACAAATAATTGTACATTTGTATTGCCAAAGCAGGTAGAAAGGAAGGTATAATGTAAAAACAGAAGAAATAAAATACTAAAAGATTAAAATAAACAAAAATAGTGCATAAATTAAGGACAATATAAAGACACTATATACAGAATAATTGTAAAAAGGAGAATAAAATGAGTAAAATTAGAGAAAAAAGGTGAATTTACTAATAAAGGTAAGAAAAAATATAAAACAATAATAAAGAAGAGCAATCAAACAATAACTCTCTCTCTCTCTCTCTCTCTCTCTCTCATAGAGGCTGATTTTTAGCATCTTGAAAGCAGTCACACTAATTTAAATAGACAACATTCAGGAAAAAAAAACAGTGAAAGTGGCACAAAATCATTTCACTGAAACAAAATAATGATGTACAGATATTTAAATGATTGAATCTGGTACAGAATCAAACAAGAGAAACAGAAAAAAACATTACAGAGAGTAAAAACAGTAAAGATAAAGCCTGTGACCCAAACACTGGTGTGAGAGAAGCGTTTAAGCAGAATTTATTCTCACAGTAACAGGCAGGAAAACTCAATCATTTATTCATCTTCGTCATAACAGTGGATCCGGAGTCATTCCCGGGAATGCTGAGTGTGAGGTGGGAATGCTCCCTGGATGGGACGCCAGTCCGTTGTTAAGCCCCATACAGACACACATACAGACACACATTCACACTAAGGGGTGATTTAGCTTAGCCTGCTGGCATGTTGTTAGGAGCTGGGAGGAAACCGGAGAACCTGGAGGAAACCCTGGTCTCCGTATGTGACGTGACAAAGATAACGCTGTCCTCCTCTGAGTTCAACATTCCCCAAAAGATGGAATGTTTATGGAGTTAACACTCACAGAAATTTCATCTGGACTCTGATATTAACCAAAAAAAACATGATTACACACACACACTCTCTCTCTCTCTCTCTCTCTCTCTCTCTCTCACACACTCACACACTCACACACACACACACACACACTCAGGTGTTCATTTCCCCACCATATTTAAGGTCATTCCTGATAAGCAGACAGGAGAAGGCCAGACGTCCTGAAGGATTATTCATGTTATTTGTTTTATATTCTTGATGTCGATCATCACTCATATAAATACGAGTATATATTTTAAATATTCATATTAATCATATTAATATTACAGTTTACAGTAAAATAATAAAACTCTGCTAAGTCGTGCACACTCGCGCTACAGGAGGAAAAAAACGCCGCATGCTGATTGGCTGCGAGTGAAAGTTAATTATTAATTATTCATCTGTGTGTAGGTGATAAATTTAAGAGATTTTTTCAAAGAAAGAAAACGAGGCAAACAGTGAGCAGGGTGAGTGTGTTTTAAATAATAATAATAATAATAATAATAATAATTTGTTTTAATTACATAGTGTTTAGGATTAAAGGTACAGTAATAATAAATTAGAACTAAAGTAATATTATATATCATTATTATATGTTGTACGTTATTGCATCACTGAAATATAAATGTGTGTGTGTACTTGAAATGAATTTTCAAAGAAAAAGAAAATTCTCATAATAATAATAATAATAATAATTTATTTATTGACATTTTCAATAACCCAGAGACGCAACCACTTGATCTCTCTCTCTCTCTCTCTCTCTCTCTCTCTCTCTCTCTCTCTCTGAGTTGTGATGTCAGTAACTGATATCTTTCTCTGTGTGTGAAACGGAAACACAGAGATGATGTCGTTGCTGTTGTTACGGTTCAGAAGTTCGGCTTAGATTTTATTTATTTACGTTTACGGTATTTGGCAGACGCCCTTATACAGCCTTACATTTATCTCATTTTATAAAACGGAGCAGTTGAGGGTTAAGGGCTTTGCTCAGGGGTGCAGCAGAGGCAGCTTCAGCAGTGCTGAGATGTGAACTCACAACCTTCTGATCAGTAATCAAACGTCTTAACCGCTGAGCTACCACTGCGTAGTTACAGTTTATCAGCTATAAAAAAACAAATACAATTGTATACAATACACACACACACACACACACACACACACACACACACACACACACACTCAGGTGTTTATTTCCCCACCATAATCACAAAACTCTAAAAAAATAAAAAATTTTAAATCAAATTTTTTAAGGTTTTGTGCTTGTATTGGATTCCTGTTAAAATCTCACAGGATAAAAAGTCTGCTGTTGTGAGAGAACAGCCAGGTGTGTGTGTGTGTGTGTGTGTGTGTGTGTGTGTGTGTGTGAAGCTTCACACCTGCAAAGGTGACTGAGTGCTCATTGGTGTTAGTGTAACATCCTGACTAATAATGTTCTAACTCACACACACACACACACACACACACACACTAAATAAACCTGCAGCTGTCACTTTTGTACTAAACCGTTTAATCTGTCCAGCTGCCTCGTTTTCTCGTTTATGACCGTCTGTGAACATTTAGTTTCGGGACAAACGCAACATGAACAGAATAAATAACAGGAATAAAAGTTATAAATGTTCACTTGATAATGTTTTCTGTTTTGTCAGTTTGTCAGTCTGGTTTTGTTTATGCTCACACACAGTGAGTTAGAAATCACAAAACTGCAATGTTCTAACAATCTTTTGGATTCTGACTGAAGAATGAAATTCTCTGATGTGTTTACATTGTGCTTTGTGAGAAAAATCCTCTTTATTGTTAACATCGTATTCACACAATGAACAAACCAGAGCTGCTGCTGAAATGAAGTCTCCATGTCACATCTTCTATTCTCCACATTCATAGTTTCATCACTGAGCTGGGAACCGAACTGTGGGGTTCTTCTTCAGAACAGTTCCACACACACTAACACACACACACACACACACACGGAATAGGGAGTAGGGAATGAGTAGGGAATAGTAAATAAGTAAGGAATAGGGAGTAGTGAATAGGGAGTAGGAAATAAGTAGGGAATAAGTAAGGAATAAGTAGGGAATTGGGAGTAGGGAGTAGGCAATAGTGAATAAGTAAGGAATAGGGAGTAGTTAATAGGGAGGAGGGAATAAGTAAGGAATAGGGAGGGTATTGGGAGTAGGAAATAGTGAATAAATAGGGAGTAGGGAATAGGGAGGAGGGAATAAGTAGGGAACAGGGAGGAGGGAATAAGTAGGGAATTGGGAGGGTATTGGGAGTAGGAAATAGTGAATAAGTAAGGAATAGGGAGGAGGGAATAAGTAGGGAATAGGGAGTAGGGAATAAGTAGGGAATAGGGAGTAGGGAATAAGTAGGGAATAGGGAGTTATCTAGGACACAGTGTTCACCCCAAACGCCTCCACTGTTGAATGAATGTGTTTTCTAATCACGTCTGAATTTCAGGGTTGATGTGCTGTATCTCTCTCTCTCTCTCTCTCTCTCTCTCACACACACACACACTGATAGCTTGTCACCTGTACTGACACGCTCTCCATTCACTGCTGCTATAAATAAATGAACCACTTACAGTGAGAGCAACACACACCTGAGGCACACACACACACACACACACACACACACACACATTTACACACTTGCCTGAGGAATTTTGCATCTGCAAGCCACCTCAATTTCCACAGAGAGTGAGACAGGGGAGAGAGTGAGACAGGGGAGAGAGTGAGACAGGGGAGAGAGTGAGACAGGGGAGAGAGTGAGACAGGGGAGAGAGTGAGACAGTGTTCATTATTCTGTATACTGGGAGTTTGTTATAGAGTGTGTAATATGTCTCAGTGTCACACAGCTGCTGGAGTGTGTGTGTGAGTGTGTGTGTGAGTGTGTGTGAATGTGCGAGTGCCAAAGTGCTGAAGATTTTCTGCAGCCTGAAAATAGCACAATATCGACTCGTCACACTCAGCCACCTCTTCACACACACACACACACACACACACACACCCCCTTAGTGTCACACGCACATTCCTATGAGGCTATAGCAAGGATCAGGTCAAAGGTCAGGGGTTAAAGATCAAAGCAATTGGTAACATTAGAGTGTGTATCATGTGGAGAAGGTTCTCTGACCTTCTCTCTTTCTGTGTGTTCATTTTTGTGTGTGTGTGTGTGTGTGTGTTAATGCTTTGTTCATTCTCGGCTAAAATAAATTAGAGGCGCAAAACTGAATTTAAAACTGAGAAACTCATAACGCAGGATCTGAGCGCTCGTGTTTTTATTCCTCCGTTTGATGGAATGCAGAGTTTATTATTTATTTATTATTTTCAGCTGTAATCAGTTCCATTCGGTTAACAGCAGGCGTGTGTGTGTGTGTGTGTGTGTGTGTGTGTGTGTGTGTGTCCTGAGCACTGTAGGAGAAATATTAACCAGCCTCAGTTTTACTGCTTTCCTCATTAAGAAACATTGCGCTCAGAAATGTTCAAACTTTTATTGGAATGAAAACCAGAAAAGATCATGTGAAGAAGAAACTGCGGGACGAAGAGAATTTGGTAGAAAAGCACCATTTCAGTGTTTGTGATGAAGGAAATCCTTAAAAAGAATTTATTTTCAGCTTTTCAGGGCACACAGTAATAAATCCTAGTATATATATAAATTTTTTATAATCCTATGACGTTTCTTTTTTATAAAAAAACAATAAACAAAAATACAAAAAAACCTGCATTTGGTATTGAATTAGGTTTCCAGCTGCGCTGCCAGGAAGTGTTTATTTATTTATATCATTTATAAGAAACATATTTTATTTTCCCTCTAATATGAGTTGAAAGTAACATAAGTCGCCCCCCCATTTTAGTTAGGAGTGGTACATTCCAGCCATAGCACTACATGGCTATTCTGGGATGTACGAACTGGTTATAGGGGGTTAAACACTAAATCACTAAATATTTTATGACATTTATGTGTTAAGTATTTTTTTCTTCCGCTGTTTACTCGCTCGTGTGACGTGGTCGTTAACTGTACACCGATATTTTATTAATTATCGATTTTAACTCTGTGGAAGAGTCTTATACATCATTTAACTGATTATCAGTTCATCTTTAATCTATAAATAAACACATGAGCAGGTGTTCATTCAGACATTAGACACTTAAAACATTAATATTTATTCAACAACAGTCTTTATTGATTTTTTTATTAAAATGGAGAAATAAAATAAATTCTTACACTGTGTAACTCCTCCCCCAAATCCATCAAAAAATAAAAAACACCTGCATATGATCAAACATCATAACACAAAATATATCCTTCAGGTTCATCTGTACATCATGTGTGTGTGTGTGTGTGTGTGTGTGTGCTACATAAACACTTCATAAACAAGAGGATATTTTCTCTAATGATATGCAACACAGGAAATATACAAAATAATAACTGTAAATAGCTCTAAATATATCTATATAATCCACTTCTGTAAAAAGAAATCAGTCCATCTGGAGATTTTTTGTTGTTGTTATGTTAAGATTCTCCTAAAGAGTGAAAATATTTTCACGTGAACCAAACACTCGTCCCGGATTGGCTGAGTGAGTTGGGTGTCAACGAGGGCGGGGCTTAATCTAAAAAGGGCGAAGCTTAGATTACATTTCATCAGCTCTTACTGCTTCAAGTCAACAAAATTCTCAGCGTAAAGTACGTATACTTATTAATTCGCAAAATATACTAGTAGTTTAACAATGTTAGCTAAGCTAGTCAGCTATGTTAATGTAGCATTGTGCTAACATTAGCTGCAAAGAAAGGTCAAAGGTCAAATGTCAGAGAAAAATAAGGAGTAGCATGTCTGCATTTCAAAATATCCACTCTGGGAATTATGGATATTATAGTCTTATCTCCAGTACATCTCACTCTGAGTGTGTGTGTGTTTGTGTTTGTGTGTGTGTGTGTGAGACCTTTTGGAGGCAGAGCCATTTGTAAGGATGCATAAGATAGTGTGTGTTGTAGTGTTGCAGTGCAATCCTAGCAGCTTTTTATGGTGTGTGTGTGTGTTTAGTTGAGGCTTCAGTACATTCCATCTTCGTACATGTCCGTCCGGAGGCAGAGCAGGATCCCCCCGCCCAGCATGAAAATGGTAGCTCCCCATCCGAGTCCGTAACCCCAATTAAACTCGTGGTACGTCTGCAGCATTTTATACTCGATAAATTTGATTGGATAAAGAATGAGAGCACACGTCTGGAGGACCACTGTGGAGACAGAGAGAGAGACAGAGAGAGAGACAAAATAGAATAAAATACACTTATATCATGGCCATGACACAGTACTCATTTCTGGCTCTGTGTGTGTGTAAGTCACTGACGGAGTCACCAGCTTGTTTGTACTGAATATGACAGTTTCCATTCCATTCTGGACAAGTTCTCTGTCTCTCTTTCTTTCTGTCTGACTCCCTGTCTCTCTCTCTCTCTCTCTGTCTCTCTCTCTCTCTCTCTCTCTCTCTCTAATAGCTCTGGACTATAAGGGGATCTTTATCCTCACTAGGCTTGAAAGCAATTACTGCAGGAATGAACACACACACACACACACACACACACACAGTGGTCTTTATTTTACATTCTGAGGCTGCTGTTGTTTTTATGGCTGTGTTTATACTTCTCCTAAAACTCTGCCATAAATCAGAAAATAACCACAAAGAGAGAGAGACAGAGAGGAGGAGAGAGAGGGAGAGAGAGAGGAGGAGAGAGAGAGAGGAGTGGGGGAACAGAGAGAGGGGGAGAGAGAGAGAGAGACTGCAGTGTGTGAGCAAAAGGGGTGAGCTACAAGCTGACCTGGAGTCAGTCCCTTATTGTTCTGAATAAACTAAAGAAAGTTCTGGAATGATGACAAACCTCATGAGTTCTCTCTCTCTCTCTCTCCCTCTCTCTCTCTCTCACACACACACACACACACACACACAGTAGCCAATGCGCTCATTCAGATGGTATTTAATACGTAGGTGAAATAAACGCAGCTGTTGCTATTGGACTCAAACATAAAAGACTTAAACATTACACAACTTCTAACACTCACTCAGTCTGCTGCTGAGAGAGACAGAGAGAGAGACAGGAA